TGCTATTCCCTATTGAGAAGAGTTCAGATTCGCTGATCCTATCGACACACCACAATCGGACCGCATAATCCCAATGCTAGTATCAGTGTGTGGGTTGTGTGGTTGATAGTGATCAGTAGAATGAAAAGCGCGAAGAACTGACTCGGCGAACTCTGTTCATGGTATTCCACTCACTTCCCAATCCTTGATACGACCATGGAAGTTGGTTTTCGAGAAACTGTATTTTTGGCGTAACTGATATCTGGTCCAAAGAAACCAGTCATTCCATCCTTTTCACCCAAGTGATGTGCACAACATCGTGCCAGTGTGCTCCACGTGTTTGATCAATTATTTTATTTATTGATATATATAATAATTTCAAATGGGAATTCGTCGTGCTTTGAAAATCTAGGAAGCACCGTAAACAGCTGTTTCGACCCGTTTAGGTCTCATCAGCAGCAGTGCGCTAACCCATCGACCCAACTGGGGATCGATTAATTTCAGTCGGCTTATTCTGTTCGGATCTTTGACGTCAGTCGATCACTCTCTCTCACACACACATGCATCAACACAAAATGTTTTATATTATATTCAAAGAAACTGGTATCCACATACATAATTAAACCGCTTGAGAATAATTACTCCGGTGTTTACCACTTTTTTAAATGGCGCAAAGACTGAGAAGACACACAACACATCTGATTTGAATGATGTCTATGTCGTGACGATTGCTATGAAATTCCGACTAAAATGATGTTTTCCTCGACTGGCATACACACGTTAACAAGCCCAGCCAACAAACATCTAGGAAAGCATCTGTATGATGTGTTGTTGTTGTCTTTATTGGTGGTGGTGGTGGCGGCGCGCATGATGCTCCCTATGAGGAGGAAGAAAAACCATTTTCGGCAGAAGTAAACATGGTCTTTGATTGAGATTGAAGAATATGAGTGGTCAAGTACACTCGCACACACAAGAAATAAGGCTGAACGAGTACCGGCATGTGAGAGTGTTCGAGGGCGCCTGGGTTAGGTGGCGGCGTTGTGGGGGGTTGAAGTAGAGTGGGTTCGAGAGTGTAGAACAATTTTTAGGCACAAATGTTAAACACTATGTACAAGGTCGTTGATACTGGATGCGATCAGATGGGATAGCAATTCACTGTCCGTGTATCTGTCTATCACTCTGTTTCCTCTGTCAATCTGTATGCATCCCTACTTGTCTGTCTGTGCACGTGTGTTTGTGTCTATTGAGCTAAATGTGGTTTTCCATGAAGCTTGTTTTTTGACGGGGGTGGGGTCGGATGGTGGTAAGGGGTGATACAGATCGACCGAAACAGAGGTACAGATACATATATATATATATATATATATGTATGTATAAATAGATCACATGAAGTAATGAACTGTGTATACAATAGATGAACAATGCCCCAAGTAGCCAGTAGCTGATGCATGTGGACAGAGAGAGAGAGAGAGAGAAAGGGAGAGCAGAATGGAGGAAGTGAATGGTTTCACAATACTTGAGAACTGTACAGAGGGAGCTCGCACGATTCACATTAAACGGCACTGA